TGGTAACCGGAAGGTAGGCCTGTAAACGAACCGAACGCACACGAACGGATGTATGTTCATGTTCGTTCATTTAATAAATAAGCGAACATAAACGAACACGAACATAAACGAACAAATTTTTTTTTGTTCATGTTCGTTCATTAAGGAATATAGCTTGTTCATGTTCGTTCATTTAATAAATAAACGAACATAAACGAACACAAACATAAACGAACACGAACATAAATGAACACAAACATAAACGAACATAAACATTGGAGACCCTACCTTCCATTGTTCTTTCATGCAAAATAGTCGACAATGCAAATCAACCAAATCTACAGTGATAATAGCGTAAGAGCTGATTAGCAGTGATGAAATGTTTGAAGATATCAGATATTTCGATCAATCTTTTAAAGATATTAAATGATTCACACAACTTTAGAGTTAATTTGTTCGAACACGACAAAAATATACATAAATCATAAGTAAGCTATATGAATATAATAAAGTCTTAAAGTTAATTTGTTCAACAAAACAATCTTCTTGAAATCCAAACAACTTCAATAATATTCGTAACATATTCAACTTGCATTCATAATCAGTCGTTAATTCATCATCCATCTTGATCAAAATCAAACAAATAAAATTATATTAAATTAAAGGAGTTATAACAAAAGATGAAAAATATACTAAATTAGCGAGGTTATACCAATTCATTCATCCTCATTTTCAAGGAATCTCAACATGTATGATATCTTCGTTTTGCTACAACAAATCAAAAAACCAAAAATATATTAGTCATTGTAAAACCAAATTCAATAAAACTTAAAACATAAAAATACCTTGTTTTTATTTTTCTCCAACCCATAGTATTGACGATACCAATCAGCTCCACAAACAAGCATATCTACCATCTTAGTTCCTAAAGAGGATCGATGCGGATCAATAACCCTCCCACCAGCACTGAAAGCAGATTTAGAAGCAAAAGTAGTGACTGGAATTGCCAATATGTCAGCAGCCATTTTTGACAAAATGTTAAATTTAATATTGTTCTCCTTCCACCATCCCAGTCCACAGTCTTCATCTTTCCCAAGCCCCGAACCTTCCTACCATGCGAGTCCCTCATCTTTATTATGCCCGAGTCTGACTCGTTTCAATTCAAATACCTCGACTCACCTCCTTCCATTCCTCCGCAACATTGCAGCCATATCCAGCAGCGCTCCACTGACCACGCCACTTTCTTCCCCCACTAGAGGATATAAGCGCAAATCTGACTGGGACTCCCTAAGGGCAACTCTAACGCGGATGACTGGGCAACGAGTGGTGGGCTGGAGAAGACCGACTGGTCGAATGCACCGTTCATAGCGGCGTACAAGGGGTTCCACATCGTTCAAGATGCCACAAAAAATCCCTAAATTCACACCCCAAAATTAACAGACCAAAAAAAAATCAAATTATTTACCTTATGAAATCACGTTCAAGAAGGGAAAGAGATAAAGCTCTGTCGAATCGTTGCAGTTGAAGACTTGAAGCTCCGTCGAATTGTTGCAGAAATGAAAATTGTGGAGGGTGGGGAGAGTTGAGAATCAAGAACAGCTGAATGACGGGTTGGAGAAGAGTTGAGAAAATATTGTTTTTAGATTTAGGGTTTTTTGTATTACCGCTTAATCAGGCTGTAAAATTGGGTTAATTATGAAGTTGGTCATCAAAATATCATATTAATTAATATTTTTAAGATACATACAAATTGGTCACCAAAATTGATTTAAGAATATTAGGTTAAACATAAATGAACGCACATAAACGAACATAACTAAACGCATATAAACGAACATAACCGAACGTTCACGAACGTAAATGAACGAACGAGACCTATGTTCATGTTCGTTCATTTAATTAAACGAACACAAAATATTGTTCATGTTCGTTCATTTAATAAATAAACGCACATAAACGAACTTCCCGCCGCACGGTTCATGAACGGTTCGCTGAACGTTCAGTTCATTTACAGGCCTACCGGAAGGCGACAACAGATGTGTGAACAGTGAACCCAAAATGGCAGTAGGTTTACGGTGAATGTCGCTGAGGACAGGCAGAGGCGCGGGGTGTACAAAGGGATGAAATGTCCTGGGGTTTCTTTTAATTCTCAAGGGATGAACGGCGAGCGGCGGTAAATAGAAGGGTAATGGTCAGTCGATATGATTTAGGGAGTTTATATATATATATATATATTATAGAAAGGGAAATTTGGAAGATCATTCTCCGATTTACCTATGCTTCATGAAATGGCCCAAAACTTCTAGTTTTTCTTGAATTTCACTCTAAACACGCATCTTGTTCAATTTAGTCCATGTTTCTAAATTCATTCTTAAAATTTTTAAATTTCAGAATTTGTCATTCATACTTCTGACCTCGAATCTGGGGCTTGATACATTGAAGACCTCATCAATAGCCATTCGAATGACTTCCTTCTCGCTCCCTTTACCGACGATAACTTTTAACGCTGATTGAATTTCAACATGATTTCCAGATTTGACAATATATCATAATACATTTCATGTACAAGTATTTGATAATACCTACCTTCAACTCTCAATTGCACCATTCATTTCATTTGTAATAATCTGAATATCACCTTTCATAAAAAAAGATCAGCAATAAACAATAATCCATGTATATGAATTCTCCCCATTATTTCGCGATCTACTTTCCAAAAACTCTAACACCATCCCATAATACATTGACGAGTGATATTTATTTTACTTCCATCCACCACTCCTTTGATTTCTCTCTCTTTTTTTTAAAAACCTTTTCCCATCACCAGTTCAGCATTTGTTGATACATCAAATGCTCAACCTGCTCATTTCCCTCCTTGCATGATTCACATGTTTGAATCGGACAAAATCAATCTAGGTGGTTACTGAAATTCATTTTTTTATGTTAATTATTTATTTTTACTGATTGTGTCTATTGAGATTTTATTTGTGTTCATCAACAAACAAAAATGTTATGTTGTTAATATATACATGTCTACTCTTAAAAATATTTTTATGCCCATCACTAGATAAAACTGAACTTTCTTTCTCCTTTATTCCTTTTTTTAAGGATGAACACATTAGTAATTTCGTCGTGATAACTAAAACACGCCAACAATCCTTTCCAAGGAATCTTTTCCAACAAGTTATCAACGAGTAGGATAACATGTGTTATCTTTGTTTCTCCTCTTCCAATGGGACGCCATGTTCTCTTAAAGCAAAAATCAAATAATGAAAGATGGTTTATAGAGGGAAAACAAAGTCACAAAATAGAATTGTGGTATTGGAATGACCGACGTACGCAAGGTTTTTTGTTAAAATGTGCGAACATAAAAATTTATATTAAAACTTTAAGGATGCAAAATTACAAAATTTTAAAGGATATATAATTAGATTAGTAATAGAAAATACAAAAAATATTTAAATTATAAGGGAATTTAAATTTTGAAGGGTTGTGACTGCACCTCGCAGTCTATTCCTGAGCAGCGACAACACTGTAAAAAGGTGTAAGGTGTTTTTGCTATAAGGTACAAGTAGTTTTTTTTTTTGCTCTATTTAGAAACTTCTAGTTAATGGTTTTTTTCACAAGTAAAATAAGTGTTATAATAATAAAAAACCTTTAAATATTCGTTTTACTAATTACTACTTATATAACATTTTAATCGATTCGTGTTTCCCGCTTCCCACAAGGCAGCCCACGATAGTGCATGTTGGACGCCATGAAAAAGTCGTACACATGTTGGTATATTTTATTGAAACTAAAAAAGTAACATGCATGCTATATTTATATGTTTACCTCTTGGATTGTTAGATCTCTAGATTGGTTGATGCTTTCATATGCCACGCAACCAGTGAAGGGTCTTTTTTATATGATTTTTCATTATTATTATTATTTTACATTTGATTTTCTATGTACTATGTGGGATTGAGTGGGTTGCTAAATGTGTGCCCTATGAAGGTTAATGTTATTGCTGATCGTTTAGCAAAGGTTGTGAGCGTATAATCCTCTCTTACTTGGACAAGAAAAGCATGTAATTCACTGGAAAATTGAATTGCAAAGATGTACAATTTATTTACAGATAAGTTTTCAAATATTCTACCATCTAAATTATCAAAATAATTGATGTATTCTTAACGAGACTCTCTCTTTAAAAATAAATAAATAAAAATATACTATTAATTAGTTAAAATGTAATATATACCATCACGTATGTATATGTGATGTTTGTCATCAAAATTTGTAAATTTCATGGAAATTAATCAGTTTGATTTTATTTTTTATTAATCTGAGGTAAGTACAAAGTAATATTTGTTCAAAGATAACTCTCAATCATTTGACATTGAATGATCACATCTTTGGCACTCATAGTGTTCGAACCGAGATCTCAAAGAATAACAATAATTCATTTACCATCGAAATCGCTTGATTCGTGCATGCATTAATCAGTTTAATTAGTATAAATGTCCAAATTTGATAATTTTTTTAATAGTCTAAGGTGATTATAAGATAATATATGTTCAAAATATTTCTTAATCATTCATAATGTATACACCCTATAGATACAATTGGTATAATATATAATCTCGAAGGAAAACAACGTTCACTTTTATCACTAAAATCGCTCAATAGATTTAAATTTAATATTGTATAATATGAAAAAAAACACATCCACATGCATACAACCTATAAATAAATATTTTACTGAAAATTATTGCTAATGCTATGGACTCATCAATTAATATCCACATTTATTTATTTTTGCTATGTAACAGTTATTAATTACTAAAGTTAATTAAAGTCCGTAAGAGTTGACTTCTCGAAATTAAAATGATTGTTTCAACAGGCAAGCTTGTGAGTTGCATATGGCATTACTAACGATAAAGTTACTAAATATATCTTTAACTGGAAAAAAAGGGCATCTACTAAGAAAGCAAATCATTGTCTTCGTTATTATGAGAAACGATACATGAGTGACGCATACAAGAGTACAAGAATCTTCATAATAAGATAACAAGCCTAACAGATTTAAGCTACCGAAAATAATGGGGAGCTTCTTATTATAGCTGAATCAAAAGAAATGCATCAACTTAGTAGTGCTTTGGAGGCGGTGGTGATTTGTAAAGATATGGAGGAGATTTGGGGTGGTGTGGAGGAGTATGGTGGCTGTGAGAAGGAGGTGCGGGAGTCTTGGGATGAGGGGGGTGAGGCTTGGGATGTGTTGGTGGTGGTGGGGATTTGTAGACATAATGAGGAGGTGGCGCTTTGTAGGGTTTTGGGTTTGGTGGTGGTGGGGATTTGTAGACATAATGAGGAGGTGGTGCTTTGTAGGGTTTTGGGTGTGGTGGTGGTGGGGATTTGTAGTGATATGGTGGCTGGGAAGATTTTACTGGAGGAGGTGGAGATTTATAGTGATATGTTGGTGGTGGATATTTCACTGGAGGTGGTGGAGATTTGTATTTGTATGGTGGAGGGGGAGATTTTACTGGAGGAGGTGGAGATTTGTAATGATACGGTGGTGGTGGAGATTTGTACTTGTATGGTGGCGGGGGAGATTTCACTGGAGGTGGTGGAGATGTGTAGTGATATGGTGGTGGTGGATATTTCACTAGAGGCGGTGGAGATTTATACTTGTATGGTGGCGGGGAAGATTTCACCGGAGGCGGTGGAGATGTGTAGTGATATGGTGGTGGGGGATATTTCACTGGAGGTGGTGGAGATTTGTACTTGTATGGTGGTGGGGGAGATTTCACGGGAGGTGGTGGAGATGTGTAGTGATATGGTGGTGGGGGATATTTCACTGGAGGCGGTGGAGATTTATAGTTATATGGTGATGGGGGAGATTTTACTGGTGGTGGTGGAGATGTGTAGTGATATGGTGGCGGGGGAGATTTTACTGGAGAAGGCGGAACTTGTATGGTGGTGGTGGATATTTGATCGGAGGAGGTGGAGACTTGTACTTGTATGTTGGAGGTGGTGGAGACTTATACTTGTACGGTGAAGGAGGAGAATGCTTTGGTGGTGGAGACTTGTATGGAGCTGGATGTTTCACCGGAGGAGGAGGTGACTTATAATGGTAAGGAGGAGGGTGCAAAGGGTGTTTTGGAAGTGGAGGCGACTTATAATGACCTGGCGGGTGGTATGGACGCTTTGGAGACGGGGGTGGTGGTGATTTGTAGTGACCCGGTGGATGATAGGGACGCTTGGGTGGTGGAGGAGATGCATACTTGTAAGGTGGCGAATTAGCTGTCACAATGGTGACAACAAAACATAACACGAGAACAAAAACATGTTGAGGCAATAGCCCCGGCTGCCCCATTTGGTAGAAACTAGTAGATCGTGTTTTTACTTTTGCTTGAATCACAGTATTGTTGGAGGGGACCTTTTATAGGGAGTTGAGGCTTAATTTAAGAAATAAAACTAGTGTTGTCAAAAGAATCAAAACATTTTTAGGTATTAACAAATTCATCTAGGGATTCGTTTTTCCGCTTTCCACAAGGCAACCCATGCTAGTCCATGTCGGTCGCCATGAAAAATGTCAAAAACATGTGTGAATATATATACAAGTCCTTGAACCTTCTTTTAACATTATTATTTTACTTATTCTATCATATATCGAGATGTATGTGAGACATACAAAATTTAAATTTGCTCTGCAATTTAATGTACAGATCATGTTGACAAAAAAATGCACACAACACAGTGAAAAAAATTATGACATGATAAATAAGTGGACATGTTAGATTATATGATTAAATGTTAATTTAGCTTCATATTTTATGTAAAAAAAAGTCGTTTATATTTATTTTTAACTTAATATAATAATGAGTATTCAAATTATATTATTTTTTATATAAGTGTCTAAATTATTTTTTGATTAATTCAAGTATTTAACTTTATGTGTTACGGTCGTAACAGATGTTAAAAAAATTCGTTAAATGATACATGTCACATTTATAATTTTTTTGAAAAATATTTTTAAAATAAATTAAAAATATTGTTATATCCGCTAATCCCCCGTCTTCCCCCTCCCTCTCACCCATTGAATGCAAATTTTGTGACGTTTAAAAATAATTAATAAGACCTTTCCATGGACTTATGAATGAATTGATAAGGCTGCAGTTGAATCTGAAAAAGATCGTGGATTAATGAGCTTTTGCTTCTGAATATTTTTAGCTAAAATGATTACTTTATATGAACAAGATAAATTAAGAGAAAATTAGCAGCCTTCTGACTGCAAATTCCAAGCTTAAAAGACAAAGTAATTGGCAATGGCAGCAGCTCCGACAATTGCCGACGATACTCCAACGGTGGTTGCACCATTACCGTTAGGAGGTTGAACAACCACTATTCATAGAGGCAACAGCTGCACCAGTACCCGCACCCACACCGCAAACAAGGTTTTCAACGATACTAGAATTATCGATTAAATTTAACAGACGTTATAACATAGACACTTAAAAGTGTAACGTTGTACACTTATTTTTAATAAAAAAAAATCTTTAGACATTTAAAGTTAACTTTGACGCTTATTTTTGCATTAAGCCTTAAAATAAGTAAGTAATCTAATTGACATAAAATCATGTATCCATCCTTGATCAAAACAGTCCGAAACCTAGCAGACAACATGAGTTTACTTGTAGTGGACCAATCTTGTGTGTTGGTGGCAATGAACTCCAGCTTATGAAAACTTGTGATGCTTTGAGAGAACATAAGAGCCACAAAAGTGTTGATTGCTGAAGTCGGTGTTTGTCAATCCTTGGTGTTTATTCTCTGTATTTGTTTGATTTCATTTGAATTAAAATTAACTCTAATATACATTATTAATTAAAAGTACATAGAATTTATTTGTCTAATAACTGACAAAATCTAGTACCATTAACAATGGAGTTATATTAAAACAGCAAATGTGGTATATAGCTAAATTGGACATCCTATCTTCCGTTATGGTGCATTGTACCATTAACTTTGTCTTCAAAATTTGAGAATAAAGATTGCAGAAAAAAGGAAAAGAGATTAAAAGAGAGACACTCTTTTGTCGACGAATTCATGCCCTAACAAATTAAGGGAAAGAGTTTCCCTCATTTTATCTGCTTTTGCTGCACCCTTCATCTTTTGATTTATTGCAATCATGGCTTCTGTGTTTTGTTTTCTTTCTTTCTAAAATTAGTGGTGAGTTTCGTTCCTCCAGATGATCTTGTCTGTAATGATATCAAATAGGATAAATTATATTAATAGTCATTAAGCTTTTAGAATATTTGCAATTTAATTAATAAAATAATGTTTGAATTTTTGTTAAGCCTATTAAATTTAAAAAATGGTTTTATTTCGATCACCTTGGTTGATATAAGCTAATGTGACATTAAAGGCAATGACCGAAATGAAAATATATGTTTGGTTCAATGACTCCAATAAAAATTCAGGATCATTAGTGTAATTTGTCATAAAAAAGTATTTTTTATAATACTTCATAATTTATTATGTAATTAATATATTTTTATAAATTAAATTTAAACTCGGTTGAATGTTGTGATTAAATTGTAAAATATTTTCGTCAACCATCTTATTAGGCAATAGCACGAACCAACTGATTAAGTGATTAAAGAAATAATTGTTGTTCATATATGTCACGGGTTCGTACACCAGCAACTGCAAGAGTGATTGAACATCATTATTAAATGATTAGAAGTACTTAGGATATATATTGCTTTATAATCAACTTTAGCTTAATAAAAAAACATTATCATACAATAAAAATGAGAAAAATATTTTTTTGAAGAAGAGTTCAAACCCCTAGACCCTATAGAAAGGTGTTCTATTTAACCACTGCACTTAACTGTGTAGTTGTTATATAATTAATAAAAAATAATATTTAGGTTAAATTATATTATTTAAATTCGTATAATTACCTAATTGATCAATAATAACAAAACAAAGATTTTGCTAAAGAAAGGTTCAAATATAGGATATTTATAAAATGGTTTAATGCATCTAATTATATAATTAACAAAATTAATTATATTTATTTTAGGATAAACTATACTAATTGACATCAAACTTTTAGAGTTTTTACACTCTGGTCATTAAAATCGAAATATATTATTGGAGTTATTGAACTTAAAATACTTTTATTTCGATAGCTGCCGTTAACCACAATTGATTGTAACGATCGGAACGAAAATTTGCATAAGTTTAGTGTCTCCAATGAAAATTTCCAATTTTAATGACAAAAATACAAATATAACCTAAAGTCCAGTAACTAGTAGTATAGTTTACCCTCATAAGTAGCTAACCTAAAAGTAAAGGTTTTTAAAAGTTCGTTACTTCAATGGAACATGAGTCCAATCAGACCCACATCGACCAAAACATGGCCGTGACACGAAGTTACACACATATGCAACATAATTAGTAAAAGGTGTTACATATAAATTTCATCATTAATTCTTAACCTTATATGATTATTCCTTTAAGTATTCTTTATATTTATTTTACTGTCATTCGATTAATTTAAAGGAAAAAAAAGGTCATGCTTGGCATGCGTTATCATATATCTGAGACGAAAGACTATTGTTATCACAATTTACCATAACCCTAGTGAAATATCAAACTCATCCGAGCATAATTAATTGTCACTTAAGGTCTAATAAATCATTTTTTTTACAAATGATTATCCAAATGTTGAATTCCTCCCTTGTGCTATATTATGGTTCATCCTCTCTGTTTGGAATGGTGCTCTTCTCGGCGATGGCCTTTCTGACTTCGACGATTTCTTCTCACCTCCTATGTCATTGCCAGAAAGAACCGACTTTGCGACGTAAATGTCAGCACTAGTATCAATAGAAGGTGGTCCGATTTGAATCATTTCAGCTTTGAAAGGGTCATCTTGAGGTCCTATACACGATGATGGAGCTGTTCCCAGGTCTTGCAGTTGGAGGAGCTCGTCAGACCAAATCAAAGGACTCTTCCCGCTTCCGCTGTAAGGGCTATGCCTCTTCTTTCCAAGGCAAATGTCGTCACTATTCGGCATGAAGTGTCCATCAAGTGATGCTGATCTTTCCATGTTGTGTTGAAGATCAAGCTGATCGTCTCCGTATATATTGAGGTCTTGAAATGGTGGGAAGTTGAAATCTTTCATCGCTCCCACAGTAGTACCCTTATAGTCTCCTGCTGCAGCCATGGTTTCGCCAGCTAGGGATTGGCAAGCTTTTTCCAATATGGACTGCATATACTTTCCTTGAGCCTCAATCCTCAGTTGAAGGTGCCTTTGAACCTCCGGTTGCTCATGAAGTCTTCTCTGCACTTCCATTTGCATCCTGAGGGCACATGTGTGAGATACTGCTTTTATATACACTTAAAAACATACATGAAGATAAGAGAGGGAGAGAAACCCTTAAATCAATAGAAATCAATCAGTACTTACTCGTTCATGCTACGAGCCATCATGCCAGATGAAGATGCAGTATTTCTTTGAAGATCTAGCCACGAAAATAGGAAAAGAAACAATAAACTATTTAACTAAAAAAGTTGCAAAGTAGATGTTTAATCGTTGATTAAAGAAAACCCTATAGAAAGAAGAGTCCAGCAGGTCTTTACCATCTTGTATAGAGTGATCATTGAATTCCTTGTGCGGTTGCTTTCCAAGCCTGAATTTTTGATCCAGAAACAAGAATATAACAAAAAAGAAGCAAAGGAAAAAAGAGAAACCAGATAAGAAGAAAAGAAAAGTGAAATCAAGGCAACCCTACATAGAGAAGAGAAGATCTCAAAAAGTGCTCTAGAAGAAGAGAAAAAGCAAGAACGAAACGATATGCAGATGGTTGCATTCAAACCTGGAGATGGCTCTTGAGGTGGTAAAGTGTAAGACCCTTCACACCCATAACTCTCATGATTGCTTTGGGAGTGGCCTCTGTGTGTCAAAGTTATGCAATTGATCATATATATTAAGAAATGGATAGAATTGTATTGAAGGATGAAAAAGGGAAGTGGTGTGCCTACTGTCAGGTCCTCCGAGCTGAGTAACGGCGTCGACGAAACGTTCATGGAGCTCCACGGTCCAACGCAGGCGGGGTTTGGGGTCGGTGGTTAGCACGAGACCAGAATCGGGTTGAACACACATGGTTCTGTCGTGGGAACTCATAGTTGAGGGCTTCTTTGGTTGGAACATTCTCTCACAAGAGATTGAGATTCCAGAAGAAATGCGATATGCAAATATGGAGATTTTTTTTAGGGTTGAAGAAGAAGAAGATAAGAGGGGTTTTGGGAACAGCTCTCCTCATAGAAAAGAAAATCCAAATTTATAAGACTATCATTTTCATTAAACATATATGTCTATATATTAAACGTGCCGCCTATTCTAACATGCACCAGCCTTTTTTTTTTCTATCGGTTCTATTTTGTTCTAATTAATTTAGATTGATCCTTATTGCACACTTAATTTTAACGAATAAATTTCTCAACAAATATTAAGTAATGTTTTTAAGTAATATAATAAAAATAATGATATCGTTAATAACTAATGTTTTTAAGTAATCTATCTTCCATTGTCATCATCTTCATGAAAAGAAGAGCATAACTTTACGGAGTTATTCTTCAATTGCATGTGAAAGTTCTTTGAGTAATAGGATATGAGTGAGACACCTCATGCAATCATCATGAGGACCATACAAAATGTAATAAGCATCCGTCTCTCATTAACTATTATTAACTAAAATCTTCTCACATGCTATGTGGATGACCCATTTTGTTGGTCTTATGGTACAATTCCCCTTTTTAGGTTAGAATGAAATTGAAATGTACATGGAGAAACAAAGACATGTACTTTATGTCATTGCCAAGGAAAAAAGATTATCATCACTCTTAACTGCAAAATCTTATGATTAACAGATTCTTAGCCAAAGCTTTACTAAGTAATCAAGCATTAAATCATAGTTTTGCTGCTCTTTAATCAAGCTCATTTTTTTTCTTTCCATTTCTTGTCTCTTCTGTGTTTTCGTTTTCATTTCTTTTGCCTCTGTACTTAAATATCTAAAGAAACTGACAAGTTTGAAGTAATCCACCCCCATCCCTCTTAATTTAATAACATCATGCACCAATTTACATCTTGGACCCTTCAACTTTTCTTCCAGGTTATCTTAAAAGAATAAGACTTAAAAAGTGCTAAAATGATATTTTTTTTATTTAGATGTTTAAACCTTTTTTGATCAATTTAGGTGTTTGGTGTTACCAACGTTATTATTTAGGTATCTACGTGGTAATGGTTGTTAACAAAATCCATTAAATGACACTTATCATGTTTATATAATTTTAAAATTTTATTTAAACTAAAAAAATTAAAATTGTACTTTTTGGAGAAAAAAAACCTTAATTTTTTCTTAAATATAAAAAAACCCTAAAAATTTTAAAAACTCTAATTCCAAACTCCTCCTCTACCCATACTGATTGCCTCCGCCTCCGATCATCTAGGTCACTGCCGTCATCGCCGAGCACCCATGTACCCATCGTCGACCACCCCTAATCGGCCATCACCCTAATCCCCTAAAATCTTTAAAATTCCCAATATTCAATGAAAATGCAAAGGAAATCGAGACTTATGGATGCAAAAATATTTTACTACATTTCAACTAAATTATCTTATAAACCTTTTTTTCATAGATGAGATCAAAACATTTAAGAAAAAAAATTACATGATAATCCTCAAAAACTTTGAAACACTACACCATCATATTTCAAAGCCCAAACCCCTCCCAAAATTGTAAAAGAAATTATAAAAAAATGACTATACATGACTGATGTGTAGAGAGTCCTTTTTTTTTTTAACAAAATGAGAAATGCTTATGTTAAAATGCATTTTCCAAATAGTCAGAGAATCTCTATTTTCTAATTTTCGAGGTAATAAAAGGGTTTTGTACTATGATTAAGGCGAGCAATTTTCACACTTTTGAATGCTTATAAAAGAGGCTCTTGGAGTTTTTGTTCTCTTTATTCCATATTTTCTTTACCTTACCGAATCATTTTGCTAACGTTATGCTTTTTCTCCATGGTTGATAAGTCAATTTTAGGTGATCTTCCAATTGACATAATTTTTAAGATCATAAAATATGTTGTTGAGCATTCTGTTCTTGATTTCATGCGTCTTTGATTGGCCTATCTAGCATTTTAGGATGATGCTAATAGTGATGTTATATTCCAGATAGTAAACATGCACATTTACGATTGCCACCCTTGGTCTCAGACCAACACTTTTATCGGGTTATGTTTAACCTTAACATCTTATACGTTGATTCAGGATTATATATTGTTATGTACTGTTGAGAGGTACCGGAAGATTTATGGATAAAAGTGAACCTCAAGCCACCAGAACATACGCTTTGTATGTGTAACGACACTTACAATCGATATCTAAATTATTATTGGGTAACTGAGGCACACAATCTCTGTCAAGTACTTAATTATCGCATCCAATAATGCAAAATGTATGTGATGTAGTCGATTGCTTCTGTATGACTCATATTGATAGTTTCTATTTCTCTAAGTATCTTCACGTCGATTTCCATTGTATGTTATTAATCTCTGATGCATTATAATGAATATTATGGATTTATGTGTTTTCCTTTTCATCATTCCATTTTTATTAATAATTCTCTCTAAATCTTTTATAAAATACTTAATTTAATTGATAGTAATGGAAAATATTTCTAAAGTTGGATGTTTTACATCCGAACTTAAACCTAGTCATTCCCCATAAACCCTTAATTTAAGAGGATCTAATCCTAAACCCCAGAACTCTAAAACCTTACCTCTATTCTTCGTACACAAATGAATACTATTTTTATAAATAATCTTCAGAATGTGTTATTTTAATAAATAGTTTATGAAAAGGGTATATATAGATAAATTAGGTAAAGAAGTAATAAATTTTTAAAATGAGAGTGTAATATCCCAAAATCAGGGTCAGTGACTAAATTGCAATTTTTTAAAATTATGTGCTCGATTTTGAAACAAGTTAAAAGTTTAATGACTTAAATAGGAATATTTCAATATGATTAGATGGTAATTATGGAAAGTTTGAAGGGTATAATGGTAATTTGATAAGAAAGATTTTTATTTTCCCTTTATATAGGATGATAAACGTGGGAAATGGAGAAAAATGAAAGAAGAGTCTGGAGAGTGGGTTCTCTTCTTCTCCATCGTGGCCATGAGCTCCAAGCAAAGGTGAGTTTTCCAGATAGTTAATTTCTTGTTGAATTTTTGAGTTGGTTATGATCATTAGAGTATACTTAAGCTTAAAGAAAGCTTAACTCAAATTTAAATCAAAAGATGACAGAGTTAGGATAGATTAAGTAAAAGGAGTTTTTAAGTGAATTATTGAGATAAAAGGAGTTAATAGATTTTGAGGTTGAATTTGACTTGTCAAGGGTTTAATTAAAAAGTTAGAAGCAATAGAATTGAATTTGGAACAAGTTGAAAATCGAGTGTAATTCTTGAATTATATATGGAGGATAGGATTTTGAGGTTAAAGATGTGATAAAGGAGTATAGGTAAGTTTACGCATGTGTATGTAAATTAAGAATATAAAAGGGAATGATATATGAAGTGATTGAGCTGAAATGAAGTAATTTTCATAATGAAAATGTGATTTTTGGGCTAGGGGTATCGGTACCCATTCAACAGGTACCGATACCCTCTCAAACGAAAAATTCCAGAATGCAATGAGGGTACCGATACCCTAAGGAGGGTATCGATACCCCCTAAAGGAAAAAGTGAATATTGGTTTATTAAGTTTGTTTAAGTTGTTAGTATCGAATTACAAGGTGTAGACATCTAATAATTGCCTTAAATTGTGTAATTATGTAGATACATAGCCTAAACGAGTTCCGGAACCATTGACAAGTAAGACCGATCAAGGGAAAAGATAAGAGATCGGTATTGACTAGTGAGGCCAGGTGAGTGCGTATTATTAGAATATACGTATTGTATATGGAAATTGGACTTGTGACAAGTCTGTTTCCAATATGTTGAATATATGATTGTATGATTAGAAGTATGATTATGTTTGATATTACGTGAATATGCTTTGTTCGTATTACATGTTATGTGGTATGAATTTATATGATAAGTGTTATATGGCAATGATTTATGTATTATAGGAAAAATGCTATATGAGCTATATGAACATGGGATATAAGTTATAGGATCGTGAATTATGCAAAATACCAATGACTTATGTGATAACAAGAGAAAGTGACATAAAATATGAAACAAGATATAAATTACTTGATTTAGAAATAAGGGAATTAGTATATTCAACTTAAGGGATTAAATAAAAAGTGAGATAAGTTAAATAGCATTGACCTATAGAACAATATGAGAATAATATATATATTAGGAAACATTGATAGAAGTGATTATATGAACATGTAAGATAAATTATATGGGAAAGATGTATATGCTTAAATAAACTTATAATAAATAAGATATATGGTAAAGATCTATAAAACCATAGGAAGACGTTATAGGAGCTTTTGATGATAATTTATTAGAAGACTTGTATAGGTGATAAGTTATGTGAAACTGAACTAGGTAAACATGTGTAAATGTTATATAAATAATAGAAACATAGGCAAGTACATAGCAATATGAGTAATTATGAGAATTAGTGCATTAAAGTTATATGATTTATAGAGAATTGAAGAAAACTAGATAAGATTGAATTATAGAATGAACTGAGAATAATATATCACTTAAGAAATTTGAATATAAAATGATGATATGCACATATAGTATAAGATATATGTTTATAAATATGACATATGTTATGTGTTATATGATAAATATGAACATATGAGAACAAGGGATAAAATAAGTGAATTTGTGATGGAAGTTATATGACCATGAATGATGTAAATAGGAATAATTTAAGTACTATGTAACTATGAGTATTTGAGTATGTATCTATGTGAAGTGATATATGAGGCTATATGAAATATGTTATAGAAATTACATGATGGCATGTTTGTTTCATGGTATATGATATGTATATGGTAAGAAAAAGGGGTTAATGGTTGTGATAAGAATAATAATAAGGATAATGAAATGACATGTATATGTGAATATATGTTTATGAGAAGATATAAGAATAAGATATAAACAATGTAACAAGAAGAGTGAAATGACATGAAAAGTTGATATAAGCTATGGAAAAGTGATCTTCGTGACTATATGTATATGAGATCCAAATTATGTGAACATATGAGAATACATGTCTATGTGATGAGCAATGTGAAAGTAAATACATGAATATATGAAGCATAAGAAAGATGCCCATGTTATATGATACGAGAGCTATCTGTATAGTTGGCATGTCAAGAGTCGAGGGTCTACGCGGTCCTTCGGGAAAAATACATAGGTCATTCGAGACAAAATTCATATGCTACTCAGTGGGACTTATATGAGCTGTGGTGACAGAAATAGTGCACAACCTCAATGTACTCACATTCCTTAAGTTCTCACAGGTGTACATGGGCTAATAAAAAGATTAATCAGATATACTGAATGTGATATGTACATGTAATTTGTTATATGGAATAAATTACAGGATTCATGTATTGGAGTATTGCTTGGTTAGTGCATGATATATTGATAATGGTATATGTATATGTGTGTATTGGCTATATGAAAGGTTATATGTTTTTAGTTATATGAACTGTATTACATGAATTATATGATGTTAAGTGTATTTCTTTATGAAATAATATATGATGGGTATAAATGATAAGTATATGATTATACGATAAAGGTATTAATGATAATAATAGGATAATGATAAGAAAGAAGATAATCATATATGTACATGTGTGGATTTGATATATGAATAGAAATATGTTGGTGTATGATATGATAGTAGTAATTGTTCATGCATGATTATAAGTTAGATTTTTCTATTATATGTTTATATGCCTCACTAAGTCATAGACTTAGCGTGTGATTGTTTCACACGTAGGTTACAAAGTGAGAAAGTGATGGTTAATTTGTGATTAATCTAAATCTGATAAAAAACATTTAAGATAAAACCTTCTCGGCATATATTTATATGAATTTAAATATGTATATTCATGCTTATAGAGGCAAAACTACTATCACCTCAACAAACAGCTTATTGGGTATTCAAATGTAAACCCCATTTCTGTGAACTTAAACTATTGACATCCTCGATATCAATTGGTCCTACATTCACAATTTGTACAAGAACATGGGTTCATAAAACTTTTCATATACATATATGATGACACTAAATGTTCAACTTACTACATCCATATAGTTTTAAGAAATCCCATTGATTGATGTCAAACCAATATTATTTAATCATATTTAAGAAAAAGGAGGAACGTCAATTACATTTGGAGATTCCTCTTTAGACTGGTATGGTATAATTTTTGTCCCTTTATAAAATAATCAAGCAAGTTGAAGTTTAGTGTTAAGTTAGTTGTGTTGGAAGCCATAAGCCAAGGGGGAAAAGGTTGGGTGGCTTAGTATTAAGGCCATGTTTGCTTGAATTTCAAGCATCTTTTTTTTTTTGCTTTGGAGAAATTATTCTTTTAGAATGAATATATTCCTTTTGCAAATGCATAAAACGATACTATCAGTCCCATCAAACTAAAAATTATGCATTGTGTACCAATTGTCACTACACAAGGTATTTTGCATCTTATTTTCCAGAAAGTTGAAACAAATTCCACGCAATGATGTTATCTCCTAGCAGTCCCTTTTATCGTTTTTGGGTCGAATCACTAGACTCACCATTTTGAATGATGCCATTCTCGTTCAAGTATTCCACAAATTCATCTATAAGACAGGGCCATGCACCCTCGGCATCGTAATTTGATAGTGCAAGGTCCATCGTCTGCATGATAAAAACACATTAAAACAAATTATCATGTTTTGAATTATGATGAAACCAAACTCTTAGATGTACGTACACCCAAATCTGAACGACATAGCAATGCATAAACACTTTCACTCGATTTGCAGCAAGTCAGGTAGCGTGAAGTTATTAATCTAATGTGCGGTTGATGATAGAATACAGTTGATATCCAAGACACTGAATTGAAGCCTTTAACTTACTCTAGCAAGCACCAAAAGTTGAGACCACGTGTCCTGAGAGATCGCTTTATTATGTCGGGCCTGGTTCAAGCGGCATCAAAGCACAAATACAATTAAAGAACTAACCAAGGTGGAAGAAATACAAAACCTCATGAAATTCCATATCTGACAGAACTTTACAAATGAGGATAGTACATTCAATTTTATGGAGATAATCATCATGCAACATATGTACCTTTGATGAAAGAATGAAATAGCACCCCAAGATCCTGATTCTTTTAAAATTTTCAGCCATAATTTCAGTCTAAAGAAATTCCTACTAATCCAGCTATCAAAAGATTTACTTAAGGTAGAACATTAAGCCTTTGGTAACATAGAGATTATGCATTATCACCTTTTCACAGCAAAGTTTCTTATCACGGTGTTCATTCTCTAAGTTAAATTTATACGAGGAAAACCATACCATATAATTATTATCTCAAGCAATATTGCAGGTCAGTTCAAAATGACTATATTTTTCACAGCATATTACAGAATTCCAAACAGGATTAGGAAGAGAAGTATATGCTTTTAAGGTACCTGTAAAAACTGGCACCAATGGTCAACCAATGGCCACTGCATCTCAGCAAAGAGCAATTGCCACATACCAATGGCAGTGTCCAATGCCAAAGATTTCTGACCTTGAGGCAGAAAATAAATTATTAAGTTCCTGCATAAAGGTATTATATAGGTGAATGTATTCTTCCACCAGATTAACATTCTAGTGGATCTTCTGACTGTGTTAATTCACGTTTTAAAGTAATTTTATAACTAAATATATAGCTAGACAAGTAATCTAAAGGCTGAAACTTCATTTTTGTAACATAAACATTCCCAACTGCTCAAACAAGGAGAATCATGTGAGGCGGTAACTGCTGCCATGCAAAAAGAAACACCATGCCAGAAAAAAGTAGTCTAATTCAGATTAATGAAACTAATAACAGCAAATTGTTCTTCTGCCTAGAGATTAGAAAATTTCTATTGTGGACAGTTGACATGAAAGGATAGCCTACCTTTTCTTTTGCCCAGCCAAATGCAAAGTTATATATCTCACGAAACTTTTCTGCAGTTACAATAAGCAAAGACGAAAACAAGCTTGCATCACACAAATAAGTTCTGCATATGAATCACAACATATTAATATACATAACTAATTTGGAGGGTTAAAAGAAAAAAATAAAAAAGCTGATTGTCTAAATATATCTATATAGAAGGCACTTCTTCTGCTAAACGCAACATGCTTAACATGTTCAAATATTTTCTTGTTGGATACTGAAAATTAAACTCTATGGTGCACTGAACATACGCTCATCTTTCAGCTCAGAGCGCATAAATGATATCCTCTGAATAAACTTCTCCAATGAATCTATCCTGCCATGAAATTTTTTAAATTTCTATCAGAATCACATTACAGTAGGTCGGTATTGAATCTAATTTCATTTCAGGTTGGGAAATTACAAAAAGACAGAGATGCCCACCCTAGTGCCTGCAAACCAGTGAAAAACTCTTCCTTGGAATATTCACACATGGTAGAAGCCTTCATGTGCCATGAAACAACTAACTGCAATTTTCCGCCAATATTAGCACAAGTGTCCACAAAATATTGGAACCAGATAGGAACTTCTAAATATCCACTGACATCATGTGAAACCTCCTAGAAGATTTAACTGTCTATGATAATGTCCAAATTTACTTTAATAGTTTAACGCAACATTTAACCTCAAGTACCCACCATTGTCACTTTCTCAAGTCACCAATCATCATAACAGGAGTTAGGGCTTTGGACAACCATGCTAACCAGCATCGATGAATGAAAATTTCAGAACTATGCTAGCCAACTCATTAGCCTTTGCTAAAGCCAAAATCCTCCTTCCACAACCCTCTAAATCGCAAATTGTTTAAGTCCAACCAGTTACTTCAAACATAATTTAGAAAAGCCACATCACCATTACTGAAGACTATTATTCTAGTGAAATATAGAACTTGAAACTAATAGAATTCAAGATGAGAAAAAGGAAAGACCAGAGTCAACACGCATATGCATTCCAAGGAAAGGATGATAAAAGCAATCAACAACATCAGCAGGATTCTGAAACTTTTAGTTAGCACTTTGAACTTTAGAAAAACGTAAGCTAAAGAGGAGAATATAGATAGTGAAAAAAAAATCTATGATTTTTATCACAAGAGGTGTACTTCAGGCTGCGGACATACCATAACAATATCTTGGGGATCCACTGTCAGAAGAAGGATTCTACGTGTTATTTTATATTTTGAATCGCAAATGAATTTATGTACCAACGAAATAATAGAAAAGTAAAGGGGTCAAAAATATGTCAGACAACAAATCTCAAAGGATAAAAAGGCTACCTGGAGGTCGTTGCATAGAAGAGTAATACCATCAGCTAGTATCATATCTGTGTTAGGATCTGAATAACATATGTAAGTATTTTGTTTTATTTTTTAAAGGAGTCATATAAGGTACTAAATATAGCCATGGTATCAATCAATGGAATGTAAGCTGCAGAAATGAATTTCAGATTTCATCGAAATGAAAATAAGAGTACACCAATATCTCAAAGAACAGAAAGAAATTCAGCAGTATTCTCTGTTACGTTCCATCAACAATACTAAACTAACAAATTATTAAACCACAAATTATTAAGGCAAACTATAAAATAGAATGAGAAATAAAAAAAATGGAAGGAGAGAGGAAAGAAAAGCTTGCCTTTATATCTTTTATAAAGCTCTTCCAAATGTATAGTATAACTTTCAAAACGACGCTGGCTAAAGAAAGACCCAAGAGCTCCTATAATATTCCAATTACCTGCCTTCAATGCTTGGATAACAATTTGGTCACTACAATCAAATAACCATAAGAATAAATACATGAACTAAGGAACTGAAAAAGGGCAGCAAACCACTGATACATTCAATCTTGTTATAGACAACAAAACCATAATTCTAAAGATAACTGGAAAAAAATGACATTGATGGACACGGGAAGAGACGTGTTTAGCCTTACAAACAGGTTTTTATTGAGGAACCTGAATCAATCATCTCTATCTTTTACACATCCGTTGTTCCTTTGTTTTCATCTTTGCACATAAACCATCTTTTCCAGTCTTTTTAAAAGTAGCTCTATGTTAACAGTGATTTCAAAAGTAAATCCTAGACACACCCGAATATTAACAGTGAAACCGCAAAATAAAAAATATCAGGCTACCTCGTTTCAGTTAGCATCTTCAACTCCTTGACCGACTATCTCTGCTCAGTTTATGCTGTTACAAACAACAAAATTTGTGAATCGAAAATTGAAAAAGAAGTTGCAAATTCGTTACAAAATAATAGCATTTCAAGTTTGTTGGCGGTAAACTACACATTTAATATTTTAATAATTATTTTTAGAGAAAATAACCTCAGTGACCAAAAATCCCATATAATATATGATTTTAACCAACTTTTTCCGGATTTGTCAAAATGACTAACAAAATCGCAATGCGATCGCTAATTCGCAACGCGATCTCCATTATCGCAAATTCGCGTTGCATTTTCGCAATGCGATAGTTGAAAATCGCGTTGCGATGGTCTACAGTATCGTTGCGATTTTCCCAATTCGCAATGCGAATAAGTAAATCGCAACGCGAATTGGGAAATTCGCAATGCGAATAAGTAAATCGCAACGCGAATTGGGAAAATCGCAATGCGATACTGACTATCGCAATGCGATAATAAAAAATCGCAACGAGATACTTACTTTCGCAACGCGATACTGACTTTCGCAACGCGATTTACTTAGCGCCATTCGTATTAACGCGTATTTTTTTTTTCAAATTCCAAACACGTATTTTTTCTTAATAAATCGGAAAATGAACCGTCCACAGTAATCGCACGCAACTCATAACCTCAAACCCAAAAACACAACACTCAGTCCCATCTCCATCTCTCACTCTCTACGGCGAAATCCGTCCCCATCTCCGAAGATTTCCGTCCCCATCGCCGGCGAAATCCCTCACAACCATTCACAGTCAAAAATCCCTCACAATCATTCAGAAATGGAAAATCAACCTCCGAGGGTTAGTTTTTTTTATTTTTATTTTGAAATTTTTGCATTATTTTAGGTTTTTCATATTGAGATTGATGATAAGTTTACTGGTAATTTCAATAATAGATTAACCATTTCACTTAGATTTCTTATTAAATTCATTCGATTGCTGTCAATACTGCTAAACTGTTTAGCCTGTGAAGTTAGTATTTGTCTTTGCTTTGTCTTTTGGTTGAAGTAATGCAGAAGAAGAATAGTTTCGAGAATGAGAATCGCAACGTGGAAATGACTATCGCAACGCGAAATAAAAATCGCAACGCGAAAACAAAATCGCATTGCGATTTTCATTTCGCATTGCGATTTTCATTTCGCGTTGCGATTTTAATTTCGCGGTTGCGATTTTCATTTCGCGTTGCGATTGTCTGGTCGCGATAGTCATTTCGCGTTGCGATTCTCTCGTTGCGATAGTCATTTCCGCGTTGCGATTCTCATTATCTCGTTGCGATTTTCATTTCAACCAAAAGACAGAAACATTGTTGCAAATTTTAGTTTCAAGAATAAACTACTATTTATGTTTATTGTTTTGTTTTTGGTATATCTTGACAGTGTAATTTTTGGTATATCTAACTTGGTATGTTTATTGTTTTTTTGTAGAAATTTTTTTCGGCTTCATTGACATTAAGGAATAAAGTTAGCCTAGCCACTACAATTGCTTCGAAGCTTTCACCTGCACAAAGAAAATTGTTTGAAGAAACCTGCTTCGGGCCATGGCTGAGAGTACAGCATCCGGGTGGAGATGCTAGTTTGACCCATTTGTGGCTTCAGACCATGACTAGCGATCTACCTGACAGTATACAACGTGGTGAGGAAGAGATATGGTTTCATTTTCCACCGGCGTATACTTGTTTTGGGCGGAAGGAGTTCTGCTTAATCACTGGTCTACGATTCGGACACGATGATGTAGGCCGGTACACTCGTCATATCACCCGCCCATCATGGTTATCCAGGGTTTTTCCTGATGAGTCAATAGAGAAGCCGAACTTACACGTCGACGACATGAAGAAATTGTTTAATAAGAAAGATGGTTTTACTCGGATGAATGACGTCGATGTTGTCCGAGTATGCCTTCTACTACTTTTGTATGCCGGCTTTCTAGGCAGAGAGGCCAGACAACCTATTCCTCAGGAGCTAATATTATTGGTAGAGGACCTAAATGCATGGAATCTGTTTCCGTGGGGTTCGTATATATGGAAAGCTACCTGGACTAAGTTGTCGTCTGCCTTTGATGACCGCAAATGTTTGCGGGGCGATGGGTCGAAATACACTTTGTCAGGCTTTGTTTGGGCCTTTAAGGTAAGAATTTCTATATAATGTTTTCAAAATTATAATTAATTATTTAACAATTACTAATGTTTGTTATTATATTGTTTGTAGATTTGGATATTCGAGGCTTTCCCCAGCATGCGGACATATGCATTAAAATCCTCAGATGATATTCCTAGGGCTATTTCCTGGAAGAGGAAACGTATGTTGGATTGGGAAGACTTAATACCATATGCGACAATAAATAATGTAAGTTAACACAAATACTATCATATATAAACAAGTTATTAATAGTAGACGTTTAACTTTGTTTTAGTTTTTATATTATTAGGAGGCCAACACTCCATTAATGAGACTGACACCCACGGAGGCTGAGCTTGCCACTGATTGGTGGCAAGCTAGTCAGCGTTTTTTTGATGGCACGAATGATGAGCAGCCTCCACTTCCTCCACTTCGAGAGCCATCACCTCACCCAGAGCCATCACCTGATCGACCCGACTATACACCTCTACAACGAGAGCCATCACCTATCCCGTCACATCATCGAGTCTCTTCTCCACCATCACCTCATGATAGGCGACCGACAAAGATGCCACGACTTCTATCTCCCTGTTCTCCACCTCCACGGGATGAGTCAAGGGAGTTACGTGATGAGGTCAATGCCTTGCGTGAGGAGATCGGTACTCTACGCGATAACGATGGTGCATGGCGTGTGGAGGTGTCTACTTTACGTGGTGAGGTTGCCGCTCTACGTGAGATGGTAGTATCGTTGCAGAATGAGGTTCATACTCTACGCAACGAGGTAAGTTTAAGATTTTCCATATTTAACATGATGATAAATTTACTCGTAATTTCACTTAAATTAACCATTTCACTTAGATTGCTTGGTAAATTTATTCGGTTGCTGCCAAAACTGCTAAACTTTTTACTTTAACACTGTGAAGTTAGTATTTGTCTTTGTTTTGTCTTTTGGTTGAAAGTTTGAAATATATTTATCTTTGTTTTCACTGTTTAAATATCATGTCTGTTTATTTACTGATATTTGTATTTTTATTTAGCGGACCGATAAGGTGGATGCTTTACGTCGGGTTTTTCTTGCACGACAGAGTTCACGCATCAGACGGCGTGCACGTGCTATTAAGTCTCCGTATACCCCAATAGTGCGAAGACACCGCAAGAAGAAGCCCGACTCGCCTATCATCCCTCAAGAGTCCACTCCTATCGTTGAAGAGGCCCCTATTATTCCTCGAGAGTCCCCTCCCACCGTTCAAGAGGCCACTGTCATCGTTGAAGAGGTCCCTCCCACCATTCAAGAGCCCGATTCACATGGCGTCATATGTAGGATTCTTGAGAAACCCTCTGACATGCCGGACATGATGGATTCAAGTTGGCTCTCGTATGAGTTACCGGCCAGTACCATACCGGTATCTGAAGAGGAGAGGAAACAACTACCGGACACAATTCTGGATAACACCCTTTGGGCTAAGACCGCAGTTGATTTTTATCTACACGAGCGAAGCCAGGGGTGTTTCACTGACATATGCAAGCTCAATGATGATATCTATTTGTTGCTTGATCGGTCTTGGTGGGGCGTATTATTAGGGGTAGAAGACAATGGCTATTTCGATGGAGGGGTAAGTCTTATATTTTTCTTATATTTTCATTTGATTAATTTGTTTAAAATTAATGTAATTCACTAATATATGTATTTTTTTGTAAAACAGCATATCGATGCGTGGGTGTCACGTCTACTAATAATTAGGAAACTTAAGGAAAATAAAAGAAATACACGGTATACAATAATGCCGACGGCTTTTAACGCAGTTCACTTGAAGAATCAACGAGATGAATCATTTGCGTTGGGCAATGGACAAGCTAAACTTTATCCTGCATGGTGGGAGGTCGATAAGGTTAGTGTTTATTTTAGATTGAGTTTAAAGGTATTCATAAATAAGTGCGCAAATGAATGAATTATTACTTATGATTGCAGGTGTTTATCCCTGTTTTGGAACGTAACCATTGGCTTCTCGTCGAGCTTCAGATCCCATCCCTTAAGGCAATAGTATATGACAGCATGATAAATTACATATCATTGGCTGATTTAAGAGATATTATTAAGGGATGGAGCTCTTATTTGGCTAAATACTTGGATGCGATAAATTATTGGACTCGTTCTGGAAACAAGAAGCCAAAGAAGCTCAATATTACAGTTAGCAGAGACGAGACCACACCACAACAAACGAAAGGACCCAGAGGGGATTGTGGTCCTCTCGTATGCTTGGCGTTGGACCGTTTGATCACAGGAAGTATAAAGTATCTACCTCCCACCGATATAGATAGAGCTGCAGTAGGCTTGTGGTTTCGACATTATATGGCTAGATCGATATATACGAGACGC